TCTCAGCAATATAAATCCGTTTGATTCATACCATATTTTGAATTTTTTTAAAATAATTCTTAGAAGACATTACTATTCTATTTTTACCCAGCAATTGTATTTATTCGGTTGATTCAAATAAAATTAGGTCGTCTCAAATAAATTTTACTCTGAGAGAGTATAAATTTGAAGATAAAAATAATCGAAGTCTATAAAAATTTATTTTTTTTTTTTATTCTGAAACTCCCATTGGAGTGAAAATTCTCTGTCTCTCTCTCTTTCTTTCTCGCACTCTCTTTCTCTTAAGAATTAGAAGGTCGGAATCTCAACTTATAGACTCTTCTTGGAAATTCTAGTTCACAAAATCCCTCAGGAACTCGTCGTCCCCACAGGAACGTGACGAGATACGGGATTCGTAAGCTTAGAATTCGCAAAAGGAAAAGGATACCGACTTTAGTAGTCCTAGTCACGATTTTCAGAATCATATCCTCACCACTAGAATGTAGATGTGGAAATTTCCACTATTTCGAATAATTGATTTCAAAACTAATAACCATATTCCATACGTGTAACACGATTGTGTAATAAAATTTAATTATTCAATTTTCACTCTCTATCGAAAAAAAAATTAATTCTATTAATATTGCAATTAGTTTTCACAATTAGAATAAAACTAACCCTTCAATAAAACTTAATTATTCAATTTTTGCACCGCGTTATGAAAAGATTTATTTTAATTAAATAAACGATTATTCGTGTATTATCAAGTAAATATTTATTTGTATCAAAAAAATATTTGCTTGTGTCAAATAAACATTTATTTGTATCAAAAAAATATTTGCTTCTGTCAAATAAATATTTATTTGTATTAAATAAATATTTACTTGTGTCAAATAAATACTTATTTGTATTAAATAAATATTTGCTTGTATAAAATAAATATTTATTTGTGTTAAATAATTTTTATTCAACTCAAATAAATAGTATTTGTTTCAAAACCAAAAATTCTTGCTCCAAATAAAATTTATTTGATTCAAACACAATTTAATTATTTAAATAAAATTTGTTTAATTTACTTAAATATTTATTTGGAAATAGACAAGTAATCAATTATTTGAACAAAATAAATTTTTCTCCAGTGCATAATAGCTGTGTCTCTACTTTAAAAGTTCTTTAATGACAAAAATCAAAAGAACTTCATTCAATGAATCAACAGACACTGAATTTTAATTACCATTTCTTCTTTATAGTTAGAAAAATGAAGTGTTCATCATTGAGTTGAAGTGTTGGCGTAAATGTCAGGTCGATACTTTCACGTATTACGGTCACAACTCCATCTTCTCTTAAGTTCGGGTGGTCTCAAGTGCTGTACTTGGAAGTGCTACTTGAGGTCGCCTGTCATTAAAGGGAAATGAAATTATAACCGTAATATCTCAAATGTTTTGCAATTTTATTCGAAATTTCCTGACAGTTTAGCTTTAAAAATCTTTTAGTATTCATCAGAAAAATAAAAAAATTCAGAACAATTTAAATTCTTTTATCAATTTTAATTGATAAGGGAAGAAAAAATTAAAATAGAAAATAATAGAAATAGAGGTCAAAAGTTACTGTTTGCTTTTTATTAAAATAACTATTTGTAAAGTAACAAATTTTAGAACTTTTGGTATATAGGTAATAATATTTTCGAAATTTACTTACCCTCTAAATCTGAATTAGTAAAAATTGAGCTACCTTTTTACATTAGTAAGAATATTCACTAATTTTTATGTAAATATTAATAAATTTCATTCAGTAGTTATTTTCTTTTATCAAAAGTTTTAGTTTTAGTTTTAGTCAAAAAAATTACTAAAAATTAAGTACAAATTCTTACTAATGGAAATAATTACCTAATTTTCACTAAATCTAATTTAGAGAGAATTATTAATATAACGTAAATTATTGTTCGCTACGAAGCAAATTTTTACTAATTGCTGTGGCTATGGAATTAAAATTCACATGCTGATCAATGAAATCAAAATATTAAATCAAAAGTAGCCCAAAAAAATAAAATTACCGAAATTAAAAATTACTGATTACTTTTTAAACTTATATTTTATATTTTAAATTCTTTGTTTCTATAATAAAAAAAACAATTGTAAAATTTTATAAAACTATTTATAGTATTTATCAATTTTAGAACTGTGAAACAATTTCAAATGTATTAAAGACGCAACATTTTATTATTAAAAAATTCGAATTTGTAAAATAACTTCTGAGGAATTTAATAAAGTTTTATTAAAATCTCGAAAAATTTTTCAAATATTAATAAATTATTTTCAACTTCTCAGTTTCATACAAAAAAATTTAATAAAATTTAGAATTTTTATAATAATAAATTTTACCTTTCATTATGTCTTTAAAATTTTAATTGTAAAATGCTTTTATAAAATTTGATAACTCTTTCTTTTATTGTATAAGAAAAAAAAACCTTTAAAAATATGGTTACAAGAAAAATTTAATTAAAATAATAAAATACTCGACACTATTGCAAAATAGATGTACTTTTTTTTAAATCAAAATATGTATTTAGCTATTGTAAATACTTTACATACTTTTACTTACTTTTATTCTACTTCAACTAATTTTAATTTATTTTTTATTTTTGAATTAATTAATTTATTTAAAAAGCAATTAAGGAACCATTTAAAAAATACGTAAGGTTTTCAAGGGGAAGGGGCGGGGTTCAAGCCGAAGAAATGTCGCGTTACAGGGAGGGGGGAAATTTTCGAAAAAAAACCTTACTCATTTTTTTGAATAGCCCCAAAAAAGTATTTTTTTCAAATAAACAGAAATTATTGATTTTTAAATACAGTTCAACTGATTTAAACACAATTCAACTACTTCAAATAATGTTAAACTGATTTAAATATCAAAAATTTCATCGTTTCAAGTAAACATTCAATTGAAAATAGTCAAGTAAGCGATTGTATAATTTAAATAAATTTTGAGTAATAAATTTTGAATAAATTTTGTTTTCACTTTTTGAAAATATAATTCATTTAAAATGCAATCGCATTTTAAATGAATTATTTCAAAAACCAGACAGAATAAGCATAACTGAATGGTTTATTTTCATTAAATTCACTGACTAAATAGCAGGACTATTTGTCGAGCCATTTTGCGGTTCCGGTATGGAATCTCCTTCATAGCGTGCATTAATTTAGGTCACAGGAAGGATCATGTGACCTATTCTAAGAGATGTTGGATCTGACCCTAACTAAGGCCGTTATTAACCCCTTATTAGCATTCAGTTTCGCTCAACGACAATTTGAATACTATTGAAAGCTTATATTATATCAACTTATTCAATTATGATACTAATAATAAGAAAACATTTTTTTCTATAACAAATTTTGATAAATTTTTTACCGAAAATTGTAACATTCGCAGTAATTAAAATGATAATTAAATTTTCAATTTGGAATACAGGGTTGCCACCAAAAAATTTGATTTTGTTTCTCTCATTTACAGACAGAATTTTTATTTTTTCCCTAATAACACCAAAGAATAATCTGACTTACTCTAAAAATTATTAGTTTATACTTTATTTATTCTTTATGTTAGATTTTATTAGACAGCAAAAATCACAGTAATTTTTTCTTGTGATATTTGGTAAAAAAGGGAATTTTAATTTATGAAAAGCGGATTCAATTTAAAAGCAGGGGATTTTTTAAATTAAGTAAATTATAATACTACAGCGTATACAGTTCATTTGAAAGATTTTTACTTTCGCGTTAATTGTAGGTTTTTTAAATAAGACTTTTCTGTTTAATTTTTTCTGTTAGTTATTGATATTTGTTTATCTTTTTCGGATGTCTACAATTTATCGAAATTTTGAATCAAAATTTTTGTTAGAACGCTACTTTTGTTTTAAAATTCCATGAATTTTCCTGTATCCGAAGTAGATTTCAGTGAAAATTATTAAAATTTACTTCGACTTTGTTTTTTATTAAAATTTCCTCTGAAAATAATAAAATTTTCTATTATATTGTTATTTTCAGAATAACTTTTCCTATTTCTGAAGAAAATTTATTTACAAAAATTAGAAAAATTTAATTTAGAAGTAATAAAATTTACTCTGGAAATAATATTTAATAACAAAAGTTACTACGTTCGAAGAAAATTAAAAAAATTTTCATACAAAAATTAACTGTGGAAATAGTAAAATTTGTTATTAAAAATCTGGAAATAGCAAGTTTTACTATTTTCACAGTTAATTTTTGTATGAATTACGATTACAGGACAAAAAATTCAGACCGAAAATTGCAAGAAAAAATGTCCAAAGTACAAAAAATCCAAAATAAAAATATCCAATGTCAAAAAATCCTAAATAAATAATGAAACATGTGAAAAAAAACACGTTTTTACTTTTCACGCTATAAAATCGAAATTTAAAATGTTGATGTTAAAATCGCAGAATTTTAATTATTTAGGTACATAAATAATAAAATTTGATCACAAAAATTCAATTATTAACATAAATAATAAAATTCTTCAGGAAAATTCAATTATTTTCATAAATAAAAAAAAAATCTTCACAAAAATTCAATTATTTTCGTAAATAAAAAAATTTCTAGAAAAATTTCAATTTTTTTATAAAATTTTTTAAAACAATTATTCCAAGAAATATACAATTATTTTCAACAATTTTAATAAAATTCTTTACGAAAATCCAATTATTTTTTTTAATATAATTCTAATTTAATTGCTCGATTAATTTAATTATTTTCAGAAATTTAATTTAATTTTTCATTGGATTCTTAATTTCTTTGAACTTTTTGACCAGGACAAAAAATCGTTTAAAAATTTAAAATTCGTTTATCAATTCTAGAAATTTAATATCTTGTCCAGGATATTTCCTAACTCTTCCCCGAAATCCCTGATTTCCCTATTAATAGGTGGCAACCCTACCAGAAATAAAATTCAAAACAGTATTATAAAAATGAAAAAGAAAAATAATTAAAAAATCTGTTACCACATACCTCGAGGTAGGACGGTGAGCAGCAAAATTTGAAAACAAGTAACCACAATCCAAGGCCTTATTCGTGGCAGTGGTGTAATCCTGACGTTGGATGTATTGTGATGAGGTAAGAGGATCGTCGACATTTTGTGATTTTGTACCGTCCAACGTCTCGACATTTTTTTCCCTCTCCTTATTTTTTCTCTTCTTCTTTAAATTTTTTCCTCTTTTCCTTCCTTTTTTTTTCTTTCTTTAACGGCACGTAACTCGATTTAGTCGAGTTCACACGCCGATGAAATCCTTTATTGAACAGCAATGATCATTTTTGGAAGAGTATTTCTTTTTTCTAGGGATGGGTTTTAAAAAGACCTCTCTTTTTTTCGATGATTCGTCAAAAACACAACAATTACTTTTTAAAAAAAAAATATGAAAAAAAACAATGCAAATTCCGTGTCAGCGGCTACTCACTTTAGAGCCGTGGACGCTTTCGAACCTCCCGATTTCGCCGTCATAACCAAGGATTATTTTTCTCCACGTCGTTTTTTATCCTCACGATATACCAAAAACAGACAAACGAATCCAGATCTGCGGCTCTTGATTATCTGTGACCCAAACACGAACCACACTTCTGCCACATTTTTAATTCCTCCAATTGATTAGAAGTTTCCTGTAAATAATTTTATTTTTCTTTATCTGAATGCCTGTGATTCTTTTTTTCTATATTCTATTTTTTGTGCTATTCTAAATTTTCTATTCTTTTCCACATGATGATATTTACTTTTTTATAAAATTCAGGTGTTATTAAATATTAATAGTAACATTGGAAGAAATAATTTATCATTTTTGTGAAATCAATTTTAACATTTGAAAAAAAGATGAAGTTCCACTAATATTTAATGACTTTCTAATGAAAAACTACTTTCACATTTTAAGGAAAATTTGCTTGATATTTCATTTTTTCTCTCTAAATCTGAATTAATGTCCCTACAATGAAAACAAATTTATTTGATTTAAATAACCGATTACTCAATTGACTATTATCAATTACATAAATATTTAATTGAATCAAATAATAATTATTGGACTCAAAAAAATGATATTAGCTTCAAATACTGAAATTATTGATTTAAATACCATTTAATTAATTTAATTGGCTCCAATAAATATTATTTGATTCTAGTAAATATTTAATTGATAATAGTCAATTAAGTAATCGGTTATTTGAATCAAATAAAATCTTTTTTCAGTGTAAAGTTCTGAAAGTTCAAATGAACGTATTTATTCATTTCTTTTTCAAATTCAAATTTTATGAAAATAAAAAAACAATTTATAAAGATTTTAAAGGTTTATTTTTCATTTTTTACGCTTTTTTAGTAATTTTTGAAAATATTCATGATAAAAAATATTTTGTTCATTTGAACACTCAGAATTTTTGGAAAATCTGAATTATTAGATTTTTACTATTTTTTAGTTTCGTCTACCGAATAAACAGTGAAGATTGGACAAATTTTTAGTAAAAAAAATACTAATTTCTAGTAGAAAAATACTAATTCAGAATATAAATATTGATTTAATAGTAAAAAATTACTAAATTTTAGTAGATAAAATATTAATTTCCAGTAGAAAAATTCTAATACCTAGAAGGAAAATACTAATTTCTAGTAGAAAACTACTAGTTTAATAGTAAAAAAATACTAATTTATTACTAGAAAATTACGAATTTTTGGTAGAAAACTACTAATTTAATACTAAAAAAATTACTAATTTTTAGTAAAAAATACTAGTTTACTAAAATAAAAATAAATATTTAAATAAATATTTACTACTTAAAATACTAGAAATATACTAATTTTTAGTAGGAAAATACTAATTTAATAGTAGAAAATAACTAATTTCTAGTAGAAAAATACTAATTTAATAGTAGAAAACTACTAATTTTTTTAGTACAAAATTACTAATTGAAGATTAATAGTGATTAATATTCAATAAATAGTATTTTTATCATCAAATTAGCAATTTTCTACTGTAGAATTAGTAGCTTTCTACTGAAATGTTAGTGAAATTTTTACTCTTGAATTGCTATCTCAATACGAATTAGTTTAAAGTGACTAATTGTTGGTAAAATGTTGGTTGACTACTTGCTTCAGCAATTAGTAAAATTATCTAATTAATTAGTGGAAAATAACTAATTATTAATAAAAAATGACTAAAATAGTGATCAAAATTAATTAAATTAGTTAGCAAAAAATTTAGTTATTTTATCACAACCTGAATTTAACTACTATTTAGTCATTATAGACTACTTGATTGCTAAAACTACTACTATTTGAATAAATAGCTAACTTTTTCTATAAAATTATTTGTTTTTTACTAATTTAAATTTAGACACTGATACACGGGAAAAAATGTTTACCTCGAACAGCGATAAGTTTCTCTAAAATAGCGAAAGTCTTAACTGAAACAACTAAAAATTTGGCTAACCTAGTAAAATTTAAAGCTGTTCCATGTGAATATTTTTTTCCGTGTAAACGAATCCGAATATTCTCTAATTAGTATAAAACTACGAATTTAGATTTAGAGAGTAAATAAATAAAATAAAATCTTTAATATATTTATTTATTTAAGGAAACTTTGTTGCCTAAATGAAAATTTAAAAACATTGAGACAATAATAAAAAAAATTTGTTTGGATAGTTTGGATTTTCCCAGAAAATCCAAACTATGGCAAAAATTGAGTCACTAATTTGCATTAATACGAATTTTCATTAATTTTTTAAGTATATTAATTTTTCAAAGTATTTTAATTTTGTTGAGTAGTTTTAATTTCTATTTTTAATTGCAATCAAAATTTAATTTGAAAAAGAGGCAAAAAGGATATTTTTTAAAAATAGAAAACATAAATTTCTTCCTATTTATAAAGAATGTAATACAAATTTTGCTTGATGTCATAAAAGACGTCGGAGTAGTTATGAGCTCAAATAATGAACTGAAAGATCTCCGCAATTTACTGATATACTTCAAATAAACCTCGGAGGCTTTATTTCGTTTATGAGCAATGTTGGTAGTGTTTTTATTTCTCTTCTTTCGGAAATAAATCGTCGATTGTCAAATTTATCACTCAAATAACAATCGTAATTAAAAAATTTATAAAACGCAAAAAATACCTTCACTATTTATTTTACTATAGAACAATAATTTTCCTTTTTTTACTTTTTACTTCTTTCTTCTTTTTATTTCTTTTTACGTTTTTTACTCTTTTTTACTCTTTTTTCTTTTTCCTTTTTATTTATTTTTCTGGTTTCTTTCTTTTTTGTTTGTTTATTTATTTATTTACAATAAAAACGAGCCTATAAAGGAAAAATTTATATCTTTTCTGATTTGTTGTTTTTTTTTCTAAATTTAATTTTTAGTGGATTTATTTGTTTACAATATAAATGGACCTATGAAGATAAAAAATTCTACTTCTTTTCTTATTTGTTCTTTCTTTTTTCAATTTAATTTATTAATAGAAATTTGTTTCTTAGTATCGCAATTTTTTGCTCCTCCCTATTATTGTCAATCAGTAAAGAATCACTGAAATTTCTCAGTCATTTTTGACAGATTTCCAATGACATATCGCCAATTGAAAATCGTAACAAGGTTGTCACTCAAAAATTAGTGAAACTTCATCATGATAAATTGAAATTTAAAGAGTAAAAAAATAATTAAAAATAAACTCTCATTTAAACAAAAAATGTACGATTTGAAAAAATTGCTCTTCAAATTAATTCATTTCATTTGTAGAAAAACCGTAAAAATAATATTTTTTTCATTTTAAATTCATTTTCTATAAAGTTGTTATTTCTATTTCATTTAATTTTAACTTAATTTTAATTTTAATTTTAATTTTAATCTTAATTTTAATTTTAATTTTAATTTTAATTTCAATTCTATTTTTATAGTTACGTGCGTAATTATTACAGCAGATGCAAAGTAAATGAATTCTATTTTACACTGGATGGGTATTAATTTTTTCTCCTGAATACTTTATATGTGCTCTTGCGGGGGATTTTAAACTATATCCGTTAATTACATCAAATCTAACATAATTTTAAAATAACGTTATACGCTATAAATTGGAAGCTTTTATATATTAACAACTTTTCACGTTCATACAAAAATCTCTTTTTTTTCTGCTTTTTTGAATATTCTTTTTTTTCCCTCTTTCTCTCATACACAACTATCCAGAGAAATTTTCATGAAAAACTTTCTTCGCTCCATCATTCGAGAGTGAGAGAAAGAGAGAGGTATAATACTGGAACTGTGTCGAAAATTGATTTCCGATTTCTCAAAATATTTCCCACTTTTTGAAAGCTTTTCGAATATACTTTTCTATTATCCCATACTATTCTTGTAAAGAATTGAAACAAAATATTATAGTTTCTCCAGATTATCTAATTTTCAAAAGTAATGGAAAAATAAAAAAAAAGCATTGTACGCGATGAAAAAGTGAAAAAAAATGACTTTGGGGAAAAAGAATATGTACATTTTCTTTTTTGTGTTTTTTTTTCAAATTGAAAGTCATTTAGAGGTGCAACAGAAACATTAAAAAAAATTGTGTTTCCTTTATGTCGAAATTTGTCACACGAGAAACCTCTGGCGATGCTAGAGATAAAAACCATAAAGTACGCGTAGTAAACAGCGAGTAGTTTATGGCCACTATACAATAAAAAAAAATTTGTTCCTTTTTGTTACAATTTGCTGCAGTGTTTAGTACTTCATAAAATGTGTCAATTTTTTTTCTTTTTATAATAATTGAATTTATTTTGTTACATTATTAATTTTCGTTTTAACCAAAACTATTTATTCCATAAGCAAAAATTCAGTCAATTTTTAATAAGTTTAAATCAATTTTTATCAAATTGATAATTTACTTTTTCGAAATAAATCACATTTTTTCACGGAAAAAAAATTTACTTTTTTATTAACACCTTTCAATGGTTTTTAATTATCGATCACACACAAGGGTTTTTGTTTTTAAAAAGTTTAAAGAGTCTAGGGATCCGTATAGAACACTTTGCTCCAGTTTCAAGATACCTAACTCAACAAACGTTACCTTCTAATCGGATTAACTAACTTTGCAATTAAGAGCACTATAAAGCATACAGGAAAACACGTAAAATTAATGTTACTCTATATAAGTAACATCCATTAGTGGAGGAAAGTCATTTTTTATTTAAATAAAAAATGTAATCTAATACTTTCCAATTGATTAAATATTTAAAAATGCGTGATTTCCATCTAAACATAAATATCTAAATATACTTATAAAAATAATCTATACTAAAAGAAAAATGCCCTAGAAAATAGTAGCCAGTTAGAAAAAAGACAAAAAATGATAAAATTAAAAAAATTTTATAAAATAATTTTGTATTTTTTTTTCTTTTTCAAAGAAAGTAAAGTTAGATACTGTTTTTAATATTCATTTGTGCACACACACACACACACACACACATAAACAGTAAAAATAAAATCTTATTTTAAAGTACATCTAAAGTTAAATTAGTCTTGAAAGAAAGGCTGATCTTAATTTAAACTAAAAGTTGTGTGAAAATAAGAGGCTTATCTGAGTTTACGAAGAACGTGACTTTGAACTTTAATTTGAAAAAGCTTTGTCTTAAATTCAGTC